GGTACTTACGCCTTTGTCATGTCCAGCCACGACTACATGCATTAGGACTTTCACTAAATACTGCTGTCACACTTCTGTTAGCTAAGGTTGGAGGTGCCAGGCTTCAGTACGGACAAACCTTACCACCACAGCGGCTTAGCAAAGCCAACGCAATTAATACCCCTGTCTGTCTTGAAATGAAGAACTCAGGTTCTGGCTGTATTCAAAGGTGAGGCCTGTAACAGTTACAACCCACAAGCTTGTGGAGCCAACCTATAATGAAAGGAAGGAAGTACCGAAGTCTACAGATGCCAAGTCAGATTAGTGGACCAGCTTGCCCCGTCACTGCCTGCCCACAACCAAGCTCTGCACAGGCACACACACTATTAGTGCTCACAAAACCAGCTCATCTCAACTGTTTTCACACCTGAAAGTGAAGGGCTCAGGTGCAGACTACATGCAGAGAGCACTGCAATCATCTCTGCCCAGATCCAAATCCCACCTACACATGCCCAGTATAGAGGGGTCCCCAACTTCCTTAACAACGGTGTCAAGCTTCCCTGCTGCCTGGCTTTGGCTATAGCTCCCTGTGTGTTGGGAGCAGCAAGGCTTTCCTTTAACTGTATGTGAGAAACGTTCATGTCCTTCCTGTTGTGGTTTGAATGAGAATTGGCTTCCTTAGGCTCACAGGCAATGCCACTATTAGGTGCGGCCTCGTTGGAGAAGTGTGCCACTGGAGGTGGACGTTAAGGTTTCAAAGATCCAAACTGTAAGCCAGCCCCAATGAGATGTTTTCTTATAAGAGTTGCCTTGGATATGGTGTCTCTTCAAAGCAACAGGACACCGACTAAGACTTACTGACTTGTGAATGATTCTCTACCCTCTCCTGAACCTCTGCAAAGGTTAATATTGGGTCTAAAACACATTGCCTAGGCCAGATGTGGTGACACATATCTATGATTTTATCATTCAGAATATAAAGTGGGAGGATCCCAAAGTGAAGTCCAGTCTGAGCCACAGAGGAGAACTTGTCTCAAAGCAAACTCTTGCCAGGAAAAGAATCAGAGTCCAGCCTCGGCTTCGAGGAGTGTTACATTTGGCACGTGCCGATCTACAACCCCAAATTTCTTATTGACTTCTGCGACAGCCACAGCTGCAAAGACTACCGCCATGTCCTAGCTGACCCCGTGATAAAACTCCACCATCAGAGGCAACTTAAGGGAGGAAGTGGTTTATTTCAAGCTCACAGCTTGTGGTCCAACATTCAGGGAAGTCGGGGCAGGAATTCCAGGCAGGAGCAGATGCGGAGGTCATGGAGGAAAACTGCTTACTGGTTTGCTCCCCAAGACTTGTTCAGCCTGTTTCTTACACATCCCAGAACCACCTGCCCAGGGGTAGTACTGTGCTGGGCCCTCCCCCATCAATCACCAAGGATAAGCACTGTAGGCTGGCCCACAAACCAGTCTGGTGGGGAAATCTTCTCAAGTAAGGTTCCCTCTCCCCAAATGACTCTAGCTCATGCCGAGCTGATCCAGAGCTAGCCAGCACACGTGTGTGAGCTGCCTCCTCTCAACGCAAGCTGACTTCGCTCTGGCACCCAGAAGGAATGATGCTTTCCTTCACAAATCTTCCTACCTGAAATATCCATGCAAGGCCAAACACCTTCTGGGAGGCTAGGCGGTAATGCTTACCATTTGGCAAAGTGTTTCCCTTCACATGGAACCATCTTATGCTGTTTAGAGAGCCCTGTTCAAGCGAGTCTCAGTCTTGGCTGTACTTTAGAACCACCCACAATCTCCCAAGAGCTTTAAAAAATTCCCAAACTGAAGTCATTCCCAGACCGTGCACTCACCACACTGGTGTCAGGGGGGCAGGGCGCCCAGGATATGAGGGGTCAGTAAACTGCTCCCCTGGGTGCAGCCTTTGGGCCTAGCCCAGCCTTGAACATCATGTGCTCAGGAAGCTGCCTGATCCTACTCTCCGTGGACCCTTCCCAATCCCCAGTCTGTCCAGGGTCCTACATCAAGTAGCCAGCCCAGCCCTCTCAGTTCCATCTGCTCTACACCCAACTTCCAGGCTTGGACCAAGCTATACAATCTGTGCTCTGGCCCAGCCCCCAAGTCACCTGACTTTATCCTACTCATACCATATCTGGCATCCAAGCCCAGCATGGCCTGTGCATCCTGTTCTAGACTGTTCTGTCCAGATCAGACACGGAAATAACAGAAGAAATCCACATGGCCAGGTCTCCTTATAGAAATACAAACAATGTGAATGATCAAAGTAGCATGGCCCTACCAATCCATTAGACTTGAGAATTACCTAGATGAACCCCAGAATTAAAATGACAATGACATCCAACTTCCTCAAAGGAATCATGGAGTTTAGAGAAGAGAAAAAGAAGTAGCTCAAAGAACTCAAAGATAATACTCAAGAAAATATAAAAATAAGGCTGAAAAAAAGTGATAAAAAAATCTAGAAACTGAAAGTCAAATTCAATCAAAGAAACAGAAATATAGAAAAATCAAGTGGAAATGGAAGACGAACTCAATCACCCACCTAGAAAACACAAGAGAAAGTAGAATAGGTTAAGCTGAAGATAGAATATTAAACCTTGAGGTTAAAGGAGAGGAATTAGACCACACAAGCAAGGAATATGAAAATATTTTTTAAAGCACAGGAAAGGGGCATATAGGAAATGGGAGACACCATGAAAAGACCAAATCTGTACATTATAGGCAAAGAGAAGAATCCAAGGTCAATGGCACAGACCAGAATTTCAACAAGGTCACAGAACAAACTTCCCCAAACCCGGAAAAGACAGACCCATAGAGATTCAAGAAGCATACAGAATACCAAATAGACAAAACCAGAAAAGAAACTCCCCACAGCACATCACTGTTTAAACACTAAGCATATAAAAAAAAGACTATTGACAGCTGCAAGAGAAAAAAATGTTTAAGTTACATAAACAAACAAATCAGAATAACAGCTGCTTTCTTGATGAGAACATTTACTTATTTACTTGAGACAAGGTCTCAATAAGTAGCCCCCACTGGCTTCAGACTCAATGTAGACCAGGCTGGACCTCATAGAGTTCAACCTGCCTCTGCCTCCTGAGTGCTGGGACTAAAGGCATGGAACACTTCCAGCTCAATGGAAACTCTGAACTCAAGCAGAGCCTTAGAGCTCAAGTTCTAAGAGAGCAGAGATGACACCTGTGTGTCCAGCAAAACTGTCTGCCATACTGAAGGAGAAAGAAAGACTTTCCATCATACAATCAGGCTAACAGAATTCATGCCCATCAAACCAACCCTAAAGAAAATACTGAAAGCAATACTTGGAATAAGCATAGTCAAGAGATTCCAGAAAGGAAAACAAAAATGAAGTTATAATTACTGAAAAAAGAAAAAGAAAAAGAAAAGCTAAGAACACAAACAGCAAAACAAACAACATCAAAATGACTGCAATAAAACACAACCTTTAAATAATACTTTAAAGATAAATTGCCTTAGCAATCCAATTAAAAGACAAAGGCTTTGTGAATGGAATTGAGAAACAAAACTCACCTTTCTGTTGTCTGCAGGAAACTCAGCTTTACAGACAGTAACTACGTTAGAGTGAAAGAACGGGAAAACGTGCTCCAATCAAATGGGAGTAGAAAGCAAGCATTCATTGCCATACTAGCATCTGACAAAACAGACATCAAACTCAGACTCATCGGAAGAGATAAAAGACACTTCATTGTAGTCAAGGGAACAGTGAAGTAAGAGAGCCTAAGCACCAAACCCTGGTGCATGCAGCCAGTTCCATAAGACACATACTACTGAAACAGAAGACACAGATCAGCTTCAGGCTGTTAATAGTAGTAATAGGAGGAGATGTCAATGTCCCACTTTGTCTAATAGGTCATCCGGACAAAAAAATAAACAGAGAAATATCAGAATTAAATGACCTCATATGTCAAAGGGACCTAACAGATATCTATAGAATATTCCATCAAACACCAAAATACACCGTCTTTTCAGCAGCCCACAGAAGCTTCTCCTAAATAGACTTCATTCTGGGGCACAGAACAAATCTCAATACATTCAGAAAAAAAAAAAAAAAGAAATAACTTCATGTATCCTGTTTGACCACAAAGCAATAAAACTTCAATAGCAAACAAATATGTACAGACTCATGGAGATTAAATAGTTCATTACTGAATGATGAATAAATAGTGCAAAGAAGAAATCAAGAAAGAAAAAAATACTGGAACTAAATGAAAATGAAGATAGGACACAATGAAACCTCAGGGACACACTGAAAGCAAACACATAAGGGAAATGAATAGCCTTAAGTGCCTTCATTAAAAAAAAAATCAGAAGGAGCCTAGCGTGGTGGCACATGCCTTTAATCCGAGTGCTTGGAAGGCAAAGGCAGGAAGATCTCTGTGAGTTAGAGGCCATCGTAATATACACAGGTTCTGGAACAGCCAGGGCTACAAAGAGACCCTGCATCCAAAACAACCCACATGACCTTCAGCTGATGAATAATGAAAATGTGGTACGTATACACAATGAAATCATGAAATCTGCAGTAAATGATGGAACTAGACAAAATAGTATATTAACTGAGGTAATCCAGGACTGGAAAAACCAATGTTCACTCTCATCCGTGGTTCCTAGCTCTAAATCTCCATATGTGAGTATATAACCTGAAGTAACCCCAGAATCCAGGGAAGTAAAAGGGGACCATGGTGTGTGAGTGTGTGTGTGTGCGCATGTGTAGTCATGGAACAATAATGTCTTTAAAAGGAGAACATGAGTTTGAGAGGACACATGGGTGGGGCTGGAGAGAGGGAAGGGAAGATGGAGAATGATGTAATTATATTTTAATTAAAAAGATTGTGGAAGCACACCTGATAAATTTATTCTCACACATGATTAAAGGTTTTTAAGCTTTCTGTAATTCTGAATTAATGAACTTAGAAATATTCTGTGCAGAAAAAACTGAAGGAAAAAAAAACCCAGATGACTTTAATTACATTAGGCAGGGAGTCAATAGATGAAAAGGAACGACACTGTATCTTGTTTTGCGACATAATCATATTTTAGTAACAATGGACTACATAATGATATTCACATACAAAGCACAATGCATTTATATGTTTTTTTTTTTTTTGTTAACTGCCTCAGTTTTTCCAAAGCATAGCTAATTTGAAAACTTCCAAATAAAGTGACACTCTAGAAAAGGGAGAAGAAAAGAAACAAACCCCCTGATGAAATCCCAGTATCATCTGTTGGCTGCATACTGGAACAATATCCATAAAGAATTTTTCAAAAGTCCCCCACAGGAAATAAAACATAAATGTTACTTATCGAAACATGTAACCAGAGCCTTCCAGTTTGGGAAGCTCCCAACCATCTGTAACCCCAGCTGTGGCATCTGACACCCTTTTCTGACCTCAGCAGGCTTCAGGCACACAGCTGGTGCAGACATACATGCAGGCAAAACACCAAACACGTAAAATGAAAATTAAAACAAAAAAATCTTTTAAAAAAAGATATGTCTGCACAAGGCTTTGCAGTTCCGCCCACTACACGGGTTTACAGGATTTCCAAGTTCGTTAGATTTTCTTCATTAAATAACTTATGTGAAATCTTAAAAACCACACTTCGGAATCAACTTGTGTCCTCTTACTCACCTGACGGCATCTGAGTTCACTTTCCGCTTCTTTTTTTTTTTTTTACTAAAGCTTGAGACCCTGGCGGCTTAGGTAGCTCTGCTGTTTGCCACATCTACCACACTGCCAGGAGGTAGAAAACGTTATCGTCCCCAGGGGGCGAGGGAGTCGGGTGCTTCTATACCAGGCCAGGACCTCTGTTGTGACACGGTAAATACTCATTTCTTGCCACACACTAAACTCAGGTGATTTATTGCTTTAAGTAACTAAACAAGAAAGAGACAGGCTGTTTCCATCGAGACAACTGGTGTTCTCGCTCCAAGGTTTGCCAGATGCTTCTTCTACTTAAAGCCTTTAACAACAACTTTATGGACAGTCTAAACATGTGACAGGCACAGCACACACCTCAGTCAATGACACAGCAACAAAAAACAGCACACAAGGCCACCCAACCACCTACTGCCACAATGACAGACATATTCATACCTGTGCTGAAGACAGAATTTTAAAACAATATATTTTTGGCATTGTTATTAACACAGAACACTTTTCTTGAACATTCTGCAAGAGCAAGGGCTTAGGGAATTACCTGTCTGTCTCCACGTCATCGGTATCTATAGAACTACTTTGAGAAAGGCAGGGGGCTTGGGGACCTCCCCTTCTCCAGCATGGTTGCCTTCCATAACAGCAGGGTATTCGGGGTTCAGGTGGAGAAGGGCAGCCTGCAAGCTGCAGGGTGAAAGCCACCGAGTACTTGCTGAATGTGACAGCATGTAGGAGTGAGTGGGAGAACCCTGGTGTGTGGCAAAGGGTGTCCCAGAATTTGACCCAGAATGCCCTTGAGCTCTATGGCCATGGCAGTACAGGCACTGTATGGCCCATGGCCTGGGAAAGTGGTGGGACCAGAGCCAGGCCTCCAGCCCTGAGGTCTAAAAAGGAACAGCCCAACCTTGCACTCTCACACAAGTGGGTCATTAAGACAGCTTTCCAGTGGATGTGCAGAGAACACTATCAGAGACCGGCCCCAACAGGGCCCATTGAGCTAACAACGGGAGGTTAAGCCAAAAGGTAACACAGAACAAACCAGCTGTGAGCAAGCTTCCCAAGGTTTGCCATCACACCTCAGGCCTAGCACAAATCACGGACTCAATTTGCCTCTGCTGGTACAGGCCCTGCAGCAAGCTCAGCCTCCACTCTGGGATTGGAGTGCCTGGGGCCCACAGAGTCCCTGTTGTGGCCAGCAGGACCATTCTGCACAGCCCCGGAGCCCTGCCTTTGCTCCCTGACCTCAGAGGCTCCGCCCCACTGCCGGGTCTCCAGCACACAGTTTTCCACATCTCCAGCCTTGGGAAACTGGTCTTCTGGATTCTTCTCAGTCTCTTCTGCTTGCTGCTTGTTTCTGGTGCCGAGTTTACTCTTGGATTTTCTTGACTGCCTGCTGTGGCTCTCTTCCCGGGAGAATCGCCAGTGGAACTAGAATGCAGAGAGGATGGAGATGGATGAAGAGTCTCCGGTAGCCTATTCCCGTATCCACTTCTCGTCTTCAAACCTGACAGTTCCCAGATTCCCTGGATACCACCAAGCTAAGTGGAATCCAATCCATCTCTCCCATCCTCGGCGCCTGCTCAACACGCTCCATGTGTGCACTCTAGATTTGGGGGAGCTATGCAGGGAGAAGGGTGCCAGGGGCTCCATAGCAAAGGAAGCAAGGGTTCCTGAGGTGCCATCATTTGGAAGGCTAAGGCAGAAGATGGAGGCTACCCTCTCCAAACGCCAAGCTGCCTGTGAACAACTGTGCATTCCCACATACTGGGCACATACTTACACAAGCTGGCCAGGGCCAGCATGGGGCATGGTGCTGTGCTCTAGACCCCAGACATTCCTTCAGGACTTGTGGGCTCCTTAGCTCGTTAGCTCCATAGCTTTGGAGAGTGATACTGGCTATCAGGCCTCTCTGGCAAGCTGACAAAGGTGCCCAGGTAACCTGAAAACTTCTGGGTGGTTAACAACCCATTTTTTTCCCAACTGTGAAAAGCTGGCCCAGCTCACAGTCACCCAGAAACTGAGATGCAGCCAAGCCCAGCTTCTCCTTCTGGTCCTTCCTACTAGGGCACTGTCTCTGGAATCGTTCTCCACCCAACCCCATCCTTGGCCCTACTTCACAGTGAGTATTGCAACTAAGCATTTACCTGTGTGAAAGGAAATCAGCAGGGGTTCTAAGATCTATGGCCTGTGATCTAAGATCTACCCTGTGACAGGGCTAGCAATAGCTATGATCTTATGGTAGTTCTGGATGAGGGCTGCTGAGGAAAGCTGGAACACTCACTGGTCAGATTTCTCAGCCTCTTTAGTGATCATGAGACATATAGGACTTTAGTTTTTAATTTCTCACTAGTTGCACCACAGTAGTTATGCCAAATATATGTAATATATTATATAATTATATATAATATATAATACAGCCCCAGCTGTATTATATCAGATCCCAAGGCTCCAAGAGAAAACACACAGAAAGCAGGGAGAGCGAGGAGCACAGCTTGCCACTCAGGCCAAGCCTCTGAGGCAGGGTGTGGAACACACCTCAGGGCTCCCCCAGCTAAAGACGAGTTTCCACACCTTCAAGAGTGGCGGGTGGTGTCAGCTCAACCAACAAGCCTGCAAGGACAGCAGGAGGCACAGAGCCTGGGCTTTTCTCAGCCACCACACCTGTGTCACTGGACCGCTCAACCCAGCTAAACTACCCAACTCAGAATTAGGCGTGTGTGGGTGGGCCTGGGGGAGCACGCCTGTGTAGCCTGATGTAGCTCAGTTTTGTGGTTGAGAAACGGAAATAATGAATGAATGAATGCCTGGTAGAAAGGACAGAAAGTCTTCACTTTCAGGTCAGTTGTGGCAGCAGGGGCTAGTGGGTCTAATGAGTACTTTTCAGAAACTTAAGAAGTTTCCTTCAAGAAGCTAAGTTGGAGGTAAGAAGATGGCTCTGCAGGTTTAGTTCCCAGCACAACTGTCAAGGTGCCCACAATTGCCTCTAAGTCCAATTTCAGGAGCATCTGATGCCTCTGGTCTCCATGGGTTCTGTGTGCACATGTCCAAATCCACATGTAGACACACACTCATACATGTAATTAAAAATAAAATGAAGGAAGGAGGGAGGGAGGGAAAAAGGGAGGGAGGAAAGAAGGCAGGCAGGCAGGCTGGCCGGACTTTAGCTGGGAGGAAGGAGTTAGTGTAGCTGAAGACTCGGTCAGCACAGTGCACTCATCTACTCCCTCCCAAGTTTAGTGTCTTTGACAGTCACGCTCACAGAAGTGACAGCACTCTGAAGAGACCAAGAAGTTTCCTTGAGAATTTCGTCTACATTAATGATTGACTCGCTGACTGACAGGATATATTAGGTCCCTTTTGCCCATCCTGAAGTTCTGTCCTTTAAATTTTGATGCTAGCAAAATAAGCATTCTGGGATCAGAAGTCTGATTAATCAGTCTGCAACTCAGCAGGTATCTCCTGAGCATCACCTAAAACCCAGGTACCACGAGAACAGTAATCGGAGGGAAATGCCTTTACTCTGATGACTTATGCAGGCCAGAATAGAGTGATCACAGATAATGAGAGCTGGGGCAGAGATCTGAAAGGTGAGTCTGGGCTTCTTTCACAGCGTGCCACTGTGATGGTTTAGATATAAGGAGTCTCCCCTAAAAAGCTCATGAGTCTCCAGACAGGGAACCACTGAGTGGTGACTAGACAGTAGGGCCTACACTGATGGGTTCATCCTAACTGTGCGATGGTGGGGAACGGGGTGATGGGGCCTAGCTGGAGAAAGTAGGTCAATGGAAGTCCTGGAAAGAAACACTTTGTCCCCTGCCCCTCCTGGGCTCAGCCTCTGCTTCCTGGTTTCCACGAACTGAAGATGATCTTCAGCCTCACATCCCCAAGACCATATTCTGTCTTACCCCAGGCCCTGAATCACAGAGCCAGCTGAATTTGGACTGAAACCTTGAGGAAAGAGTCTTTCCTCCTTTACCTATCTGTCTTGGGTACCTGTCACAGCAACAGGAAGATGACTAATGCAGCTCAGTCTCGGTGGGAGAACATTGTCCTGGGCAAGGATGCTGGGTGGAGAAAGAATGGAGAGGAGCATCCTAGGCTGGGGTACAGGCAAAAGCAAGGGCCCAGAGACAGTGGAGGACCATGGGAGCCGGTGCCACTGGCATGTAGAGAAGGGTCTGGCACAGACAGGGCTTCATGGGTCACAGGACAGATCTCCATCTTTAACATGACAAAGCTAAATGTCCTTCTGCTTCTACCTTCCAAGCAATTGGGTTATAGGCATGAGGAACTGTGCCAGCCTTAAACTGGCCTTAAAAAAAAAAGGTTTACCTTTATTTTATGTGTATTGAAGAGTTTAAGTTAGCCTGAATATAACTTCATTTTGAAATGAAGATCTTGACTGGGAACTGAATTCAGGTACCAGGAAATAGCACAGAATGTACACCTGGCAGAAAACAAAGTTAACTCTCCTAGCAACAGCCTCCAGGAAATATAACAGAATAAGTGCTTCATAGAAAATAGAGATTAAACTCCCTGGCAATAATCAATGGGAATCAGTTGAGAATCGGGTGGGAAAATTCTCCCCAATGTTTCAGATATGGTTTAGAAAAATAGCCATTGTGATTATATGCCTTAGCCATTGTGATTATGTGCCTCAGAAAAGGTCACCCCGCCCTGCTAAACTTCACCCAATTCTGTAATGCCAAGGCTTGTGCCCCCCTGCTTGCTGCCATGGAAACCTCCTGCTCACAGACTTTCCCTTTAAAAATCCTGTTCACTCAGAGCTCAGGGTCCCACTTCTCTACTGCTGCATCAGTGAGACTTGGGTCCCGAGTTCGATCGCTCTCGTAATAAAGCTCTCTTGCAATTGCATCGAGTCATCTCCTGGTGGTCTCTGAACCTGGCATAACAGTATGAGTTTTGTGTCAACGTGTAAGTATGCATACATACATGTTTTGTTTCAAGTATGTATCAAAAGGTTACATAACAAAAGGAATGGGCATTACAGACAGTTGTGGGGTACCATGTGGCTGCTGGGAACTGAACTTGTATCTTCTCCAAGAGCAGTAAATGCTCTTAACTGCTGAGCCATCGCTCCAGTCCTAAGCTGACCTTTTAAACAGATCACTTTGAATCTGAACAGAAAACGTATTTGAAGGGGAGACCTGCTACCAGCAGACTGAAGCAGCTGGACATAAGATCCTGGAGGAATTCTGGAGTTTCTAGGGTTTAAGGCATAAATGGACTACTAGGAGAAGGGGCTGAGGATGGCCCCTCGGGAGTGCTGTCATTCTACAAATGGGCAGGTGGGCCAGATAGAGGGAGAGTGGGCAAGGTCACATGAGCACTCTTAGATGGAGTAATTGGAGGGAGAGATGGAAGAGGCTTGGATGATGTGAAGCTAAAAGGATGACATAAAAGCCGTGAGCATAGAGATGTTAAGTAAAGTCCTGTGAATGAAGATTCTCAAAAAGTAAGAGGAGAAATAGGAGTAGAGACGAACCCTAAAGAAGTTCCTTGGAAATCAAGAATTATAGTTTGCGTGTGAAAAGTCCTGCACAGGTTCATCTATTTGACTCCTTGGCACCGCAGCTGATGGCACTGTTTGGGAAGGCTATGGAACCTTCAGGAGGCAGAGTTTCTCTGGAGGAAATGGGTCTCTGGGACAGGCCTTGATGTTTTCTAGCTCGGCCCCACTTCCTGTCCTCCTCTGTTCGCTGGCTGTGGGCATGATGTAACCAGCAGCCTCCTTCCCCTCTGCCCTGCTCTTCCACAGTGATGGACTGTACCCTTCTCACCCTGGGAGCCAGAAAACCCCTCCCTTCCTGAAGTTGGTTTTGCCATGATTTTGATGGCGGCAACAAGAAAAGCCACTAATACAGCGAAGGGACGAAGTGCAGCCTAGCTTATCGGAGTGATGCAGGGTCCTAATGGGACAACAGACACAGGTGGAGGCAGCTGAGGTGTGAATGATGGGGACAGAGAGACTGAGACATCAAGTGCATGGAATTCTTTCTGGAAGCCTGCTTCCTTTCTCTTAGGGGCGAGGGTGGTCTCCTGGAGAAGTGAGTGCTGAGCACTGCCTCAGTACATGACACAGAAAGAGAGAACAGTTGGTCTGCACTGGCTCAGCCAGTTAGGGTTGGCTTACTGACGAGGGGAAAAAATGGTTTCTATCCTTTCCCTGAGGAGGGTCAATTCTGCTTTCATGTCCCCTCTGTGGGATGCCAAGGTCTTCATATTAAAACCAAGGTGCCCTGCAAAGAGACATGTGGCAAGGGGGTCTAGAGCCATTTCCATTAAGGGCCTAAAGGCCAATCTCTCCATGTCTGGTAGCAGATCGCGTGTGTCACTCATTGAATGTTACTGGTGACGCCCTGCAAGCCTGTGGCTGAGCACTACCTGATATCATCCATCTTCCAGGTGGTGGCTGACTGCTCCTGGTGGTTAATGGGGACTGGTAGCTAGCTGCCTTCTGGTCCACCTCTGTTGTCACCTGTCACATTACTGTATCAAAGCCTGGAGAGTGGCCTTCCTTCGTACTGCAGTCTACCTGGCTTCCTGTCCTCACCACCTTGGCATTCCTTCAACAAATGGGCAACCCACAGGGTTTGTTGGCTGACGAGGGTCTAGTGCAATCTGTTCACTGGCTGGACGCTCCTACCTGGGACTCTGGAACAAAGAATGGGGATTATGGGGTGGCGCCAACCGTGCAGAGCTACACAAGTCAGCAACTTTCGCAGGCGTGTGGCCGTGGCCATCGAAGCAAAGCACAGTGAATCCAGGTGACACCTAAGTGGGGCTTTGGTAGACTCATTCAACATGCCGGGCTCTCCCTGAGAGGCCAGCAGCACACCTAAATCCTGCTGGTCCATGTTCTTTTTCTGTACTAAAACACGAAAGTCAACTAAAGGAGGCTGGAGAGGAGGGAGAGATGGCTCAGTACTTGGTGCTCTTGCAGAGGGCCCGGGTTCAATTCCCAGTACACACACTATGCTTCTCACAACCACCTATAACTGATCCAAGGGATCCATTACCCTCTGACCTCCACAGGCACTGGCACACAAGTGATACACGTAGGCATACCCATACACACATAAAATAAAATAAATATTGAACTTGAAAAGAAGGGAAGGTCCAGATTGGCTCACAGTTTCAGAGGTTTCTGTCTGTAGTCTGTTGGTTCCATTGCCTTTGGGCCTACGGTGAGACAGCACACAATGGCGGGGAGTGGGTGGTAGAGACTGCTCACCCATGGTAACCCAGGAACCAAAAGAAAAGGGGCTGGAGTTCCAATAGGCCCTCCAAGAGTATACCACCCCCACAGCACCCCCTGCAATGGCCTAGCTTCCTTCCATTCTGCCCCACCTTGTGAATGTTTAACTATACCTTATAACAGTACCATTAGGTAGAGACCAAGTCGTCAGCATATGAACCTCTGGGAGACATTACAGACTCAAACTGTAACCCACAGGAGGAGCCCCTATATCACAGAGAGTGAGCGGAGCATCCCAATGACCCAGCAGAAGCAAATGCTGGGCTCAGTTTCAGGGTAGGAGAGAACTCTGAGAACAGCCAGGCGAGAGAAGTCCAGCAAGGAGGAAAGAGCCCTGGCCACCCTCTAGCCTGAGGATGCACTACCACGGGCCACACTGGCCTCTGTCTACATCACTAACTGCTCGTCAAAGACCGCCTGCTCGGGTCCTGGCAAGAAGAAACTGGCAGTTCCCCTGCTAAGATGAGCAAACTTCTGGTTTACGTTTAAGGCAGGGCCTCCTACACAGCAGAGGCTGGCCTCAAACTCATCTTCCTGTCTCTGCTTCCCAAGTGCAGGGGTTACAAAGGTACACTAGTACACCGGGCCAGGATCAGCAAATGCCGATGTCCTGAAGGATCTAATAGGCAGGCCAGAGCCCCAGCCAGCTCATATGAGATCAAGAAGGGCATTTGACCAAGAGCTTGGGCCTTCCCTGGCCTCTGTCAAACTGCAACTGCTTTTGTATCCTAATTTTAGCCTGTGGGATTCTCTGGCACATGCTGGTGAACAGACAGGTCTCTGTCATCTACCCTGGTTAGGCCCAGGAAGCCCAAGGAACAGTTTCTAGGACCTCAATGGCCAATCCCAGAATCCCCTGCTATGACCCAATGTGGACCCAGCTCTTCACTGGGCCCCAAGAACATTTGGAAATGGGAGAGGCCCAGCTGGCACAGACCCCACTGGAACCAAGATGTTCAGACATAAACCCAGGGAGGGAGGGCAGAGGAGTCTCATGACTCTTACCTTGGATTCCCTCTTCTTGGTTTTCTGAGGTAGACATGGTCTCTGAAGAAACACAATCTGCTTGGTGGACAGGTTCCCTTCCCTACAACACAGGAGCTGTGATGAGCACGGGCGCCCCTGGGGGTGCAGCCTGAACTTCCTTTAAGTGAAGGAAGGCTGCTACTGGACCTGGAGTTCCCATCCCTAAGCCAAGGGACATTGTCGATGCCAACCAACTCTGCCTGGCTATCCCCGCTTCCTGGAGACAAATTCCCTTGCCCTTGATAGGTAGTGGCAGCTGGTACCCTGGCTAAGTGAGGATACACTAGCAGTTTAGGGAGTCCTAAAAGGAACAGAGTGTCTTTCAATTCTGTCTTTGGTACTTTATGGTGTGGCTGGGAAGGAGAATAAAGAGGTCCCGAAGGCCAGGCTATCATGGCCAACCAGCCCAGGCCACCTGTTATTTGCCCTGCAGTGTGAGCTGTACAGCGAGTTCAGTGAAGGCACTACCCTAAGAGACAGCCAGCTTCAGAGCAGGGGCCTGACTCTGTGTAATGACGTCTTAGGCCCCGTTTCAGCTTCCTGCTGCCCATGGGGCCTCAGGACCGTGGCAGGCCTTTCTGAGCTTCACTCTTTACCCATGAAATGGGGGCTGCAGCCATGATTACAGCCCCAAGTAATGTCAGGAGGACTCAAAATATAGATGAAAGGTCTTTCAGGCAAGGCTCAAGGGACAATGGGTAAGCATCCTTGAACCTGAACTCCTGAACTTGTAAGGAATAGCACAAAAAGGCCCGAGACTCTGGGCCTGATTATCCGCCTCATGGGAACACTGATCAGCATCATTGACTTGGCCAAGTCCCTTACTATCAGGGCGCACTTGCCTTGGCTGAAAAATGGATTTGGTGGCATATGCTTGTCATTCAGGCTAAGGCTGGGGAAACACAGGTTCAAGGTCACCCTGGGATAGAGTGAGATCCTATCTCAAGGGCAAACTAAACAAAAAAAATCTACCTCACAGGTCTTGGTCTCAGTCTCTCAGACTCTGACATACCTCTCTCTGACATATGGCCTCCCATCTATATTTTGAGCCCTCCTGACATTCTTTGGGGCTGTAATCATAGCTGCAATCCCCATTTCATGGGGGGAAGGGTGAAGCTTAGAAAGGCCTGTCATGGTCTTGAGGCCCCATGGACATCAGATAGCTGATATTTTGGTTCCCCTGACCTTTGCATTTCTCCTCACTCTCTCTGCATGTGCATGTTCTCTCTCTCTCTCTCCCCCTTCTCTTCCTTATTCCCTCTCTCCCTCTCTTAATTGAGGTTCTATACATGCAGTACTACCAAGCCCAGAACCCAGGCATTAACTGCTTTTACGTATGTTAGTGCAATGTCCTGCCAGACCAAGTGGCTAATCTCAATCGTCCAGAGCAACCCTGACTCACTGGCCGAGGGTCTTCCATGTGAAGAGGGGGAAGGAAGGGACTGAGTGAACCCCTGGCTCTGGAAGCCCCAGCCAAAGAGGTTCAGTGCAAGCCCCTGGGCCTGCTGCAGGACAAGAGATGATCCACTTATCAGGAACAATGACAGTAACCATCATAGTCACCATTCTTGTTACCTGGTTGTCTTGAGTATGGGAGTTGGTAGCACACAGGTGAGCTGCCATCCGTAGGCCGCCAGTGAGTTCAGCAGGGGCATGTAGTCTGTCTGCACCTCCGCACCCTGTGGGGAAAGGCCACCATGAGCACTCCTGCCACCTAAGGTCAGCTCCCACCACTGGAATCGATCCTCCCATTGATCCAACCAAACACAGCAGGGTAGGGGGTCTCTGAGGACATGAGCTGCAGACTTGAGAATTTAGAGCCAGACAGTTTCTTCCTAGGCCAACTTGGTCTGTGCGGTCGGCCAGGAATTATAGCCCAAAGACGAATTCATTAAGTTTGGTTTATCCTCGTCTGGACAGTCTCCCGTGAGTTTCACTGAAGAAACGCAATTACCTTCCCCCAAGATCCATTCCCAGCATTCCTAGCAGAGATGCTCTCTGGTATCATGGGGAGTTAAATTACATTTGACAAATGATCAAGTCATTTGCATCCAGGTACAGCAACTACGCAGAGCAGCCTTAAGGGTCCTGAGCGATGCCACTCAGGAGTACATGCATGCTGCTTGTGCTTTATTTCTAATTAGGGCCTGAGGACAAATATTTGCTTTACAATTTAGAAGCACAGCCCCTCTGGCACAGGGAATCGTTACAGGGACATCTTGACCCCGTAGGCCTTGCTCCTAACTCTGGGCTTCTCACCAAGAACGAATATGTGGTTTCCCAGGACTACCGGGAATACACTGGACTTCCCCATCTCTATTAAGTGGCTTAGGAAAATGACTGACACCTCTGCAGGTTCCTTCAACCTTAGTTCTGTGGACAAAAACTCCAGGAAGGAAGCTGTGTCTGCCGAACTGACTGGCTGATTAAAATTCCAATACTCTATCTTAGGTTAGGTCCAGCCCCCTGGAACAGCTGTTCCTTGCCCATCTCTGATACAACATGCTTGATACAACACCTTGTGACTAATAGATAGAAGAAACCTTTTGCCATCTATTAACTTCGAAGACCACTAGCTTCCACCAACCCAAAAGCTAAGGATGTCACATGATAGGATCTTGGGCCTATAAAAAGCTCCTCCTGACTGCTGTAGACACCTCCATGGCACACCCACCAAAATGTATTTTAAACTTAACTTGATTTATGGCTTGCTTTATTCTGTAAAACTGTAACACTTCATGAAACTACCTCTATGTTGAAACCTGGAATTTGGGGTGACTAAATCTGTATTCCAAAGCCGTGGTCACTCAAAATGGCTCCAGAAGAAAATATGTCTTATTCCCTTTAAGGAGAGAGCTGTGGTTTTGCTTTGAAAGGACCCACATGGATCCATTCTGCTTGTAACTTGGGAGCTGTGCACAAAGGAAGATGAACTGAGGCTCAGTCCTGCCCCTGGAGTTCACAGTGTCCAACATGCATGCAAGAGGGGTAGACACTGGCCTGCTGTAGTAACTTTGAGTGTCAGCAGGAAAGCAAGGAACCTCCTGGCCAAGCTTCCTGACCAGGTGCACAGGAGTGGGTGGGCTTCACTTGGAGGGAGACATGTACTGTTCTTAGAGCAGGGCATGACAAGGCCACACTGCAGGTAGTTTAGAGAGTCCTGCTGGGGGACCTAGACCCCTTGGACCAGGGAGCTGGGAGAGAGGCTGAGGAAATAATCTTCCACCTTTTCAAATGGCTTCGAAGGTCTTTAGAACTGGACCCCAACCCCACCCTACCTACCAAGTCACCCAAATCCCTGCTAACTTATCTACCTGTGGTGTTCTAAATTGTGAAGTCCAGACCCATGCTGGGGCTTTTTGACCTTGGTCAGGCAGTGCCTTCATTCAGAACATGGGGAGATGTAGGTTCTCAGATCTAGCCCTGCTGACCTAAGACTTCCGGGAGCATGCCAGAATGGACAAAGAGCCACCATAGCAGTCTCTGTGCCACTGACTGCCACCTAGATAAAGTCTTAGTCCCCTTCTGAAGAAAAAAAAATGTGTAAAATTTTGGAGCTAGAATCTACCAGTGGTCATTTTCAGTTTAACTTTTCTTATTACCCATATAAGAAGAAAGATAGACCAACTTGACAGGGATCTTCTGTGTCTGTGAGAAATGCTGTGGCTTCAGGAAAACTGGTAGGAGGAGAGGACAAAGGAAGAATGGAAAATCAGCAAAGGAAGGCAGAGAGGCCAGGGACCAAGAACAAACAATCTAATCAGTCTACAGGACAGGTCAGGAGAGGGTCTTTGCAGCCTCTCTCAAAGCCAGAATCATGCCAGCCATGGCTTAGCAGGTGGCCAGCCTGACCCTCATTTCTGTTGTCCCTCAAGACATACAGACACCTTCCGTCCAGACTAGTAGGAGCTTACCCAGTAGCTGAAAGAAAAGCCCTGTGGCTGTAGCTAAGATTCCCTAACCCCACCCCTTGCACTCCCAACTTAAAGGCAGAGGAGAAAAAAAAAAAAAAAAAAAAAAACAAAAACAATTTAAATCCACATACTCAAGCTTTGCAAGGTTCTGATTACTTGGGCCTATCAGGGATAACCTTCCCACTTTATCAAGCACTGTGACAAGCCTACCACAATCAGACAGTAGCTATAGCAACCATGTCAAGCTTTGGCGCCTTCACAAAGCCCTGAGTGGCAAAATGCAGTCTTTTCATTGGTGGCTCTAGCCAGGCCAGGTTTTTCACAGCTGGAGCTCAGAACTGCAAGACAATGACCAATCCCCGCTGCAGCCAGATCTGCCAGCTCAGAGGGGCCTCACCAGGACGCTCCTATTTCCCTCCATCTTATTTCACTTTGTCACTATCCTGAAGAGAAAAACAGCGGGGAATTCTCCCAAACATGCCCTCCCTTTGCCCCTACAAGGGTAGGAAATGTCAGCCGTGGGGTGCTGAATTACAACGACCGAAAGGAACAGGGAATGTACAGTAAACCTACAGAGCTTGGGACATTCGGGCTCGAGTGCTAATTTCTGGCTGTCAATCAGAGTTGATGAATCAAATACAGACGAGAGGGGGAGGTGCACCTGCCAAGCTTCTCCCACTTGGACCTTTTGGGCTGGTTTCTATGTAATTCATGTTAACTATGGTTTTCCACAAGCACCTATGGATGGCACTTGGTGTATTACCAGTACAGTAAGATGGCATTTCTAAAGCCAGATGAGCCCCACACCGCCAGTGGAAGACACTTTTAACTCCATTAGCTGAGAAGGTGGCAGGAAAACAGATCTGGATGGAAGGCTGCTTTGATCTGCTTTTTTTGTGACACTCCTATGAAGGAGAAGAAAGCAGAACAGCACTCCAAAGCCATCCCGCTTATCAAATGAAAAGACATTTCTTTCTGTAAGCCAGAACAAAAAACTTTAATTAACTGTCCCCTCTCCCTTGTTGGATACCTAATCTCCCTCACACCTGGAGTGTTTAAAAAAAAAAAAAAAAAGTGGAACATGTCCTGTGTTTTTGTGTTTTTTTTTTCCAACTTGTAGAAAAGGAATTCATTTGCATTAATGGCCCCTTCCTCTTTGCATCCCTATTAGTTCCTCCAGTGGTTGCAAATCAACTTAACCTTAAGACATCCAACATAACCTTACGCTACCCTCCAAAGATTATGACAACAGAATGTATAGTTTACTAAGAAACACATTTGACCGTTGATCATTTTTAAAGACCCTCTTTATAGGAAAAGAAAGGGGAGACCACATATTTGTCCAGTAAAAGAGTTTATAGCCCAAATGTCAATGGGCTCTTCCTTTCTTGTCTGTAATTTCTATTATATAATTTTAATTAAACCAAAGGTTAGACTTTGTTTTATTAAAACAAAACTGCTCAGCGCTGGTCTTGTAATGGGCCTGGCAGAAATTAAAAAAAATTTTAAGGAGACACATTTGTCCCTCAACCTTAAAGGAACCCTGCCTCCCACCCTAAGACCAGGTCCATAAAACAAATCCAAGGCTTCAAGAAAATTGCCTCCGCATCACTGTGTATGCCCATGAAATTCTGGAAACCAAGCACTCCCTGTCAGGCAGCCTGGAGCTCCGCGAAGGCAAGAACAGGCAACTGCCTTATTCCTGACCCTGCAGTTTCCAAAAGCAGCTTAAGGACCACATACTGGGACATCTACCCTCTGCATTCTTCACTACTACAAAAAATGGGTCCCTGGAGCCTGCAGGGAGTGGGCTGCACCCTCATGAGCAGAGCAGGAGCTGCAGGGCTTGGAGCACCAACCTCTTTGGCCAACACAACTGTTCTTTCTGTTTGATGTCCAGCTGTCTATTCTTTCACTTCCCTCCTCTGATGTCTTTCTTATATTCGGTGCTGACAACCAGGAAGAGTGACTCAGTGGGTCCAGACAGAAGGACCCCTTTCTTCACCAGGCACCTTTCTCTGTTCTCCAGCTCTGATTCTCACCTTTTGTTAACCTTCCAAGGGCCCACTACACCTTCCAAACTGAAGGATGTTTCATGCAGGAAACTAGCCCCAGCTACATTATGGGCCACAGCTCCTCTCTTAAAAAAAAAAAAAAAAAAAAAAATTCAATGGAGCTCAAGTTCCACCTATATCTGACCTCAATATGCTCATGACAACCAAAATCACTGACCTAAATTTGGTGTGTTAGAACCTGCCATCTTGCCAGGCCTTGACAAAGGTCCTTCGTTTCTTCACTTCTGTGTATCTGGTTTTATTAGCTCAAACTTCTACACTTGATTTCCAGACTCTCTCTCTGGTTTTGACCTGTTTCATGAACTTCCTCTACACACACCTTCTCTTCTCTCATATCCTTGTTTCGGTAACACATCAACATTGCCCTCTTTCTCTCTGTGGACCCCTGAACCTTGCCCTCTCTATGCCTTAGGAGCAAATTGCTGACCTATAGATCTCTTCTTCTTTGGCAAAAAAAAAGAGGCTTGACTGAGATCTTCCCTCCTTGGGATCCCTAAGTCCTGCCCAGAACAGAAGGAGAGTGCTGGTCCATGTGGTTCCTGGTGGTTTTTAACTATCCTAGTGTGCCACAATGAAATCTTCTCTACTGTGGTGCCAAATGGGAGCTGCTAAAGTAAAAGCAATGGCAGGTGGAGCAGAGCAGCCCTATATAGAGATTATGTTGGCGAATTGTCCTGCGCTGTTTAAGTT